GCTGAGGTGGCCACTCGTACTGCTGTAGTAGCCATCCACCCCTCTGATGTGCGTTCAGTCGCAAAAGGAGCACTTCCCCAACCCTCCGATGTGTGTTCAGCCACATTAGGAACGTCCGATGTGCGTTCAGTCGCAATAGGACCGACACTCGCTTCGCGTCAAGTGTCTTCCGTCCCGTCTGTTGCGGACGGGACTGTCACGTTTTCTGACGTTGTACAACACCCCCCCCGCATCCGCAGTTGCACCTGCTTCGCGTACTAGTGTGTCCCATGCATCGTCTGACCTTAGTGGCTCTGCTTGCACCAATGCGCGTTCAGTAGCGCCAAGGACCACCAACACCTCTCGAGGTGTACGTATCGATCCGCCTGCTATTAACCGTGTAGCACAATCGCTGATTCCTGTTCGGGGAGTAGCACGGGCAGTCGGTTGATACTGATGTCAATCTACCCGCCGCCCGCGTGCCCGCTTCTCAGAGCTATACCTCTAAGAGTAGCCGAGAGCAGGCGCATGCTCGTGATAAGCGTCACCAGGCTCCCAATGCACGCACTGCTGTAGCTTATGCTAACAATGTACCTGCCTCGCCTCCCATGCTTTCTTCTGCCCATGAACGTGCAGCCACTGCTGCTGCCCTGGAACGAGGAACTTCTCCGGACCATCAGCGTCATGGCAGCCCCCACCGCTCTGCCGTGCACGCAGCTCGCGCCAGCGGGAGTCCATTTTTGGACAAGGTGGAGTACCTTCTGGGGTCACTTCGGGCGGCGCACGGAAACGCCACGGACCCGGTGGTGTGGCCTGGGTGTTATCGCTCTGCCCCTCCCCCGGTTCCCGCGTTCGAAGATTTCACATCCAAGAAGAAGGCGCCCGTCAAGAGTGGCGGTCGCGGGGGCAGCGGCGGCGATTCGGGCGACACCGACATCAGCCACCTCCGCGGGTCTACGTCTTCCCACTGTGGTCGCGCCCAGGCGTCTTTGTCAGCGTCCAGCTCTTCGGAGCGCGCGGACAAGACAGGAGTAAAAAAGAAGAGCCGCACCTCCCGCCCGTCTTCGGACACGGCTGGAGGAGCATCCTCGGATTCCGGTTCGGAACGTAGCCTTCTTCGGAAGACTTCTTCGGGCAGGGTATCCAGGCAAGTAGTACCGTCTCTCGTGGATGTTGCTTCTGACGATCGTCTTAACGCTCTTTTGCGTGATGGTCATCTTGTGTTTTCGAACACTTTGTTGCGTGGTAGTGACAAGTCTGTCGAGTTGACAGATTCTCTTGGTGTGGCAGATAAGAAACCGTCTATTAAGACCGAACCCAGTGGAGTTGCTGTTGAAGCTGCTCCCCCGTCTGTGACAATTGAGCCCCTCGCCATAGCGAGTGCGCCAACCGATGATAGTGTTTTGCCGCTTTCTTCCACCACTGCTCACGCTCGACACGCAACGGTTGCCGCTGCTGCCTCGACAGTAGATGCCGCACATATTGCTCGTGTCCAACGTGAGTACATCACCCTCAATCCTAAAAATGTTGAGCGTGTTGCCACTATGCCTTTCCCTGCGTCGTTGCCGCCGGCTGATGCGTACCAGCAGCTCATTCGCACCGTTCGATCTGCGCTCACAGATATATTGCTGTTGTGTGATGATCGTAGCGTAGGTTTGACGGACGCCGATTTCGTCCGAGGTTGGGAGCGCCCTTTCGAAAAGCGTATTTTGAGTGCGATCTCCCCTGACAAACCTACTACGTCCGACCTTGTCCTCTCCGATTCTGATGAATTTTCAGCAAGTGAAGCGGAGGCTGGACGACGGAGCCACGGGCCCGGAAGCCTTCACGCTCCTTCTGCGGCTGCTGTTGGAGCAATTCGATGTCGGAGATCGACAGGAGTCGTTTTTGCGACTTCAGCAGTTTGGTGTTTCGAATGGAACCTTGTTTGTATACTTCAAGTATTACCTTTGGGCGTTCCGTCTTTGGTTTCTTCGGTGACCGGGTCTGAGCGTGTTTTGGCTCCTAGTGTATCGATGGTGCTTGAGATTGTCAGGAATTCTATAAGTAGGCAGTATCCGTCTTTGGCTCCGATGTTGTACCCTAGTGACCTGGCTACGGCCGTGACACCGTTTGATTCGATTGATGCAATGTGGCAGGCGTTCGTGCCATTGGCCACCAACGAAACCCCCGCAATAGGGGGTTCAGAGTATTTTTGTTTGTCTTCTACTCCTGACTCTTCGCAGTCCCGGCGTTCCCAGAACCGTGCCACTGCACCTGCGCCTTCGGGCCGGTGGGCACAAGGTTCTGCACACAATCCTGTTGTTTTGGCAGATCAGTCACAGGATGGCGGTAATGATCCGTTTTCCCGCGATTACAATGCGTGGCCCGCTAAACAGGGCGATTGGTCAGATGTGTACCAAGTCAGTTTCTCTCTTGCAACACCGGTGATCCCTTTTTGTGGACGCCTCTCTTGACACAAGACGCTCGCTCGCACGCGTTCCGAGAGAACTGAAACCGTTGTTTGAACTGTTTTAGTGAAGACCACTCCATGAAACACTGCCCAGCTCCTTTTACGAATACTATTCGTGGTCTGCTCAACCCAGAACTAGCCGAGCTGCAAGACAACTCCGACGCTTTCCGACGTTGGCAAGGTCGCATGCGGTCTTACCGTCGTAAGTCACACACCGGTTCGGGTGGTGGTGGCGGGCGTGGCAAACGTCATTCTTTGTCCTCGCGTCGAAATCACGCAGGCGACTACCGTAACAACGGTAATTCCCAGAATGATGGTCGCAACACTGGAAACTATGCTAACACCTCTCGACAGTCGTCTTCAAACAACATCCACCACACTGGTGCCCTGTCTACATACAGACCGCAGTCATCGGTCCAGACAGGCTCTCCAGGTGTATTTGTCTCGTCGAATTACAACGCTAGACAACCGGGCAATTTCCAATCTGGCGGTCAGAATGGCCACAATGCTCGTGGTTCCAACTGACCCGTCGGTGGCGGTTCGTGTACCTCCCCCGACCCGCCTTCGGCACCATCGGGACATTTTGCGCGTTTTTCACAAGATGTACGTGTATCAGGGATGGTGGAGCGAAGTGCTCCTGCCCTGCGAAATGCTGGTATCATTACACCCGCTGATTCTTGTTTACGTTCTGTCGCTAGGACTGGGAATGCACAGGACCAGGCTGTTCCCCTTTTGCCCTTCGACACTTCGTCTGCGGCCTCTGCTACTTCGCCTCGTTCGATGGCTCCTCTGTCGGGAAATGACTCCCCCGAGACGAGTGCCGTCTTGAGGTGTGGGAACAGAGCGACCAGACGCGCGTGGCCACCGAGTGTAGTTCGGCACCTCCCTCCGGCGTCTGCAGGTAAGACCGGCAAGAGCAACGCGCTTTGTGCGATTGAGGAGGATTCGTCAGAAGTGGTCAATTCTGATGCGACTTCTGATACGTGTGATTCGTTTGCGCTCGCTGCCGCTGTTGGTCCGCCAGCCGCCGCAACACCGGTAGCGGTTTCGTCTTGTTCCGACCGACGACTCTCGCCCGGTGGGGCTAAGCAGACCCCACCAATTTCCAACGCGAACGATCGTGCAGAGACGCAAACTAGGAACGTCCCGCGATCGACGTTGAGAGTGTTGACACCACCGTCTCCAGAGGACGCTTCAGAGACGCCCGCCGTGACTACGGTATGCTCGCGATCCTTGCCACCGAGGACCGGCCAGGAGCACCTTGCACCGTCCACAGTTGTATTGACAGACACCGCATTGGTGGCCGCTCCTAGCGAAAGCGATCTATATTCCCCCCGGTCCGGTACGGATGCGGGTACGGTCCAAGATCTAGAAACTGACAGCCCTATACGAAGCGTGGCGCCCCCGTTTATCTCGGCGAATTCGGCAGTGGATTCGAATTCTCCGATGGACCCACCCCCTGATTTTTATGCAATTTAGCAATGGATGTAAATTCCCTTGCCCATACCCCTGACACTGGCCCATCTGCGAAAGATTTCGGCCTTGCTGCTGTCCAGGCGTATCCCACTTCAGGTCTCTGGATATCAATCCTGCTCTTACTCCTAGTCATCATCCGTCCTCGGAAGGCGTTGATTACGATGCTGCTCAGGAGTATTCCAATTCAGACGTGGCCCTATTTTGGAAATCCCCTTCTCCCTTCTGCCAATGGACTCCTTCTACCTTTGTTGTTGGTGGTGTTTCCTATGTGTGTGCAGAGCAATTTTTTGCTGCAGAAAAAGCTCGCCTTTTTGGCGACCGCGAATGTTTGCAGAACATAATGAGAGTTTCAGACCCCCGCCTACATACACAGTATGGCCGTGCGGTCCGGAATTCTAACCAAACTCTCTGGGAGCAAGAGCGCGAAAATATCGTGCTGACCGGTTCTTACGCCAAATTTAGCCAAAATCCAGAGATGAGACTACACCTCCTTGGTTCCGGCGATAAACTTTTAGCAGAAGCCAGCCCTTGGGACCTCATTTGGGGGATCGGCCATCGGGCTGATCACCCTGACGCTTGTCGTCCGTCCCGTTGGCGTGGTCTAAATTTGTTGGGAATAGCTTTGCAGAAGGTTCGCCAACTTTTACGATCAAACGCCCCACCGCCAGAACGCAGTTCTCGCTTGTCGGCTTTGGGTAAAACACCCGCGCCGCCATCGGATCACCGTATCGTTTTCGAAGTTAACCTTTTCACACATGAACGGTTGTCGACGGCGTCAGTGCCGCCGTCGTCGGCGCGTTTTGTGAAATTCTCGCAATACGCCACTAGTGTGCCGTCCGATCACGGCACCAGCGTTTGGGCTGTGTCTCGGGGTGCTGACCATGCTGGTCCTCCGTCGCCTTTGCTCCCTGAGCAAGGTCCGAGTTTAGTCGGCGGTGTCATCACCGTTGACGATGACCCTTTCACGAGACGAATCCTAACCCATTGTGGCTCGGCTTCTACGCAATATGGATGCGCGGCTTTGTTGGACACTGGTTCGCCACAGACTTTTGTTAGTTCTCGGACTTGGGAGACCATGAAAGCCAAGGGTGCAGCTTCATCGCTATTTGAAAAACGCACTCAACCTCGTTGTCGGGGTGGGTTTGGCGAGTCCGCCCCCCTTCAAACGTCGACAATGGTCCGTTTGAGCGTACAGTTTCTTCGACGAAAATTCCCGACAGCATCTCTCGCCGTTTGGGTCTATGTTGTGCCTGACGGTGTTATGCAACATGATGTATTGCTCGGTAGAGATAGTTGGATGCGGTTTAGCGACCGCTCCTACCGTGCCTTGTCGACGAGACGCCCTGGCGATCGCGTTTTTGGAGATTTGACTTTGGCCCATCGTAAGCAGGGTGGGGCTGAAGCTTTCGTTCATGATGTCTCTGCCCAGGAGAGAGGTTTCCAGCTTCGGGATGCTGGCCGGCATTCCATTCAATTACTACCTGAACATCAACTTGTCCCAGTTGATTTGGTTCGCAGTGACGGTTCTCCTGCTCTTGTAGGCAACTATATGGTGGATATGTTTCCGCAAACATCCATGTTTTCTTCCGAAGAACATTTCGTCACTCATGGCCGCTAACGTGTGCCATTGGCGGGTGTTTCGAGTTTGGTACCAGGAGATGTTTTGGGGACCGCTTCGGTGCCCCTTCTCAAAGTCCCCCTTAGTGCGTTTCCGTGCGACAACCTCAACGATGGTCTTCCGACAGCTGCCGTTCCGCAGACTCCCGATGATAGGGTCCTTGGTCCTGCCTGTAGTAATCACGGGTGCCGTTCGGCAGCGTCACAGGCGGATCATACGTCTGTATATTGTCTGCACGGGCAGACAGACAAACAGCCAAGTGCGGCGACTGGTCCCGATTCTTCGGATACGACCTTTTCTTTGCCACCTTCGGCCCTTTTGGCACGTTTAACATCGGAACAACGTGTTAGCTTCTGTCGTGTGTGGGACAAACTGCCACATCACTTGCGAGAAATTACGTTTCACTTGCATGGTCCTTGTTGGACGCCGGCCGTAATTTCGGAGTTGGGTAATGTTCTGTGTGAATACCGTGACGCGTTTTCCAGTTCGCCCACGGATTTCGGTTCTTGTTCATTGTTTTCGTTCAAGTTGACCGTTCCCCCTGGCAGTGAGCCAGTTACATCTCGCCCGTACCGAGTTAGTCCTCCAGTTGCGAAACAGGTGGACGCTATTCTCGACCAATACCTTGCCGCGGGCTAATACAACACTCGACGTCTCCATACTCGAGTTCTTTGGTTGCCATACCCGAGAAATCTGGTGGTGTTCGCATCACCGTGAATTATCGCAAGTTGAATAAGCTTTGTGCTCTTAGTCAGCTCCCGATCCCTCGAGTTGATGATACTCTGGACAAATTGTTGAAGGGAAAGATCTATTCTCTCTTTGACATGAAATCTTCGTTCCATCAAATCACGGTTCATCGTGACACCATCCCTCTCACGGCGTTTGTTACGTCTTCTGGGCTTTTTGAGTGGTTGAACATGCCGCAGGGCAGTGCTGCTGGGCCAGGATGATCTCGCAAGGTCTTTAACGAAGTCATCGAAAATCTTCGACGTGTTGCGTCGTATTTGGATGACCTCATCGTTTTGATGCGACCCCAGCCGATCATGTAGCGACCATTCGCTCTCTTTTCGAAAGGTTGCGTACACACAATTTGAACCTGACCCCTCGAAAGCTTCAATTGGCGCCACAGAAGCCGAGTTTCTTGGGCACACTATTTTCTCCGGACGGTGTTCAGTCAAATGGTGACAAAGTTATTGCGCTCACCAAGATGCCGATGCCCAAAGACACCAAGCAGCTTCGAGCTTTGCTGGGTGGTCTCAGCTACTACCGGAAATACCTCCCACAGATGGCTAAGCACGTTCGCCCCCTTACGACTCTTCTGAAGAAGAATGTGAAGTTTGAGTTTACGGATTCCATGGAATCCGCCATCAGACAACCTCTCGCAGAACTCGCGAGCCCCCCTGTTCTGGTGTATCCGGATTGGGATGCTGTATCCGACGGTTCGCGTCCTTTTCGCCTCTATTGTGACGCGAGTAAAGATGGGTTTGGCGGGACTTTGGAACAAGAGCAACCTGATGGTTCTGTTCGACCGATTGTATTCATTAGTTACTCTAGAGTCTGAGCGCCATTGGACATTGGATCCTCTGGATCTTGAAGCTGGCAGNACGGTTTGGCGGGACTTTGGAACAACAGCAACCTGATGGTTCTGTTCGACCGATTGTATTCGTTAGTCGAGCTACTTTAGGGTCTGAGCGCCATTGGACTCCTCCTCTGGATCTTGAAGCTGGCAGTATCGTTTGGTGCTTGCCTTCGTGGTTATCTATGGGGCACTCATTTCAAGATTTTCACGGACCACAAATCGCTTGAACACCTTGCGAAGGTGGGGGAAACCAACGCCCGCGTTCAACGTTGGCTGGAATTCCTCACAGCGTACTCTTACACTCTTGAGTATCGCAAGGGTTCGTCAAACGGCAACGCCAACTTCCTTTCTCGATTGCCGATAGAAGCGACCGAGCGTGACCCTTCTGGCCGCAGTCGTCTGACTCCGTCCGCCGAAGTCGAAGCGGTGTACTTAATCCGCTCTTGTGGTTTTGTGCCTTCGGGCCACCAAGTAGGTGTCGGCATGGGTGGGCTCGCCCCGTCCGCCCCGAGTTCAGTCTTGGGTGGGCTACCGCCTTCTTCAACTGACTTTCTGATTTCCGTGAGCGTGGGACACGAGCTGGTGTTGCTGACTCCGGAGCTCCTTTGGGTGTCTGGTCTGTTCGAGCCTTACCCCCGACTGTAAATGGCGGCTCGGGCTCTGCAACCATTCGTAACCGCCCGCCCATGCTTGTGCCAGGCACCGCTACAGTTTCGGCTGCTGCTGGTGTTTTTCCAGTAGAGGACGCAACAGCGGCGTCTACCACTGTCTCCTCACGCTCTGGTGCTCCGTCCCGGCGTACTTTGGACCCCACCGACCTCGTTTCGACGAGGACCCGCAGGCGTGCTGCTGCCGCAGCAGGTGTTCCGCGCCCGGCTGTGGATTTTGGATTTTCTCAGCCGGAAGACGCGTCTCTCGAGCCGACTTTTCCTCCGTCTGTGGTCCCGTCGGCTGCTGATGCTCCAGAGCTTTCGGGCGTGGAGCTCGATTTTCGTGAATCAGTTGAGAGTTTTCCTCATTTTGATTGGGCGTGAGAACAACGCGGTGAACCCGTGCGTGACGCGGCCATACGCTACCTCCTTCTAGGCCAACCTTCCGAGTTGCCCCCTGGTTTTCTTAACCACCTTCCGCTACATCGTCGACCTTCGTTCTCGGACATCCGTGAATTGGCGCATAAAGGCCGGTTACACGTCGACGATGATGATGTGGTGCTCCTTTTAAAGAAGCCGACTACATCCACACCTGCCGCTTCCACGCGCCCTGGTGGGCGCGCTGCGCGTCTACTCAACGACGAACCTATCCGGGTTTACGTCCCTACATTGATGCGTCCGTGGATTATGCAGGTGTGCCACGCTAATGCTTCGTGCCATCTTGGTGCGGCGCGAACGCTGTCGATGATAGAGCGTTTTTATTGGTGGATTGGCATGAGTGTTTGCACCAAATGGTGGCTTCGTCATTGCCTGCGGTGCCAAGCTCGCAAAATATCTCGACAAACAGCCCGGTGGCCGATTCTAAGCCTCCCGCTGCCCTCCGGACCTGGAGTGTCCGTGAGTGTCTATTACTTCGGCCCACTGCCGACCACCCCTCGGGGTCACACGTACATTCTGCTGTCCACCGATGGTTTTAAACGACGTGCTGATATGTACGCCATTACGGCCGCTGAGGTTACCGCCGAAGGTACTGCAGATATTTTAGTGGATCGGTATATCCCTTTGTGGGGTTACCCTTGGAGTCTTTTATCGGACAACTACACACAATTTTTTTCGAAACTGTCCCACGCCGTTTACAAACGTCTCACAGTTCGCAAAGTGGCCACCAGCTCATACCATCCTAATGGAAACGGTGGTGTGGAGCGAGTCAACCACACTATGGCTCAAATGCTTGCCATGGTTGCGAACGAAAGGCAAGATGATTGGGATCTTCATCTCGCTCATGTGGAGTTTGTGTATAATAACTCTGTTAGCGCTGCCACCGGTTTAGCACCTAATGAGGTGCACATCAACCGTTTGCCTCACCTCCCGATGACTGTCCTCGAGCATCCTTATGCTCGTGGTCATCAAAGTTTAGGTCGCGATAATCTCGAATATTGCGACCTCGCTGCTGATCGCCAACGTCGTGGCTACGAGTTGGTGCGCGAACAGCACAAATTATCCGTTTCTCGGATCGAGCNACCGTTTGCCTCACCTCCCGATGACTGTCCTCGAGCATCCTTATGCTCGTGGTCATCAAAGTTTAGGTCGCGATAATCTCGAATATTGCGACCTCGCTGCTGATCGCCAACGTCGTGGCTACGAGTTGGTGCGCGAACAGCACAAATTATCCGTTTCTCGGATCGAGCGGCGAAATTTTGCTCTCTCGGATGCTTTACACAAGCTTCCGACTTACGCCATCGGCGATTGGGTTTAGATCTATAATACCGAATCTACCATTCGTTCAGGTGTTCGATCAGGTACCGACGACAAGGTTCTCAAAGCAAAGTTATCGTTGCTTTGGACCGGTTCGTTTAAGGTGTTGGCTGTCGGCCCCTCTTCGAAAGCCCCTGATAGCAGCCCTCTCGCCGCCAAGTTGTTGTGGATCTTTCGTCGGACCTGCCGGGCAAAGACTCGAAACGTCGTGTTTCGGTCGTACGCTGCAAGCCATGCGCCAATCCGCATGATGCTGAGGAACTGCCGCGGTTTCTGCCGGGTGGTCTCACGCAGCATGTTTTAAATAACTAAACGACTAAATCTCCTCCGTATCATGTTACGGAAGATGACGTCTCGACCTCGTTCGAACGTCTAGAGGTTGACCAAATTACGGGTCACCAGTCTGTTCGAGGTCGTGGTGGTGTCATCGCCGTCTTTGATCAGACACATTGGAAGGGTCTTCTCCGCCCTTCTTGGGAGCGTGAGATGGACCTGCGGCACTTTCGATCGCAGATTCTCCGCTATTGGACGGGTACGCCCGATCAACACCGTCAGACGAATCGCCGTTACCGTGCCATGCGTATTGGCGCCNTGCTGAGGAACTGCCGCGGTTTCTGCCGGGTGGTCTCACGCAGCATGTTTTAAATAACTAAACGACTAAATCTCCTCCGTATCATGTTACGGAAGATGACGTCTCGACCTCGTTCGAACGTCTAGAGGTTGACCAAATTACGGGTCACCAGTCTGTTCGAGGTCGTGGTGGTGTCATCGCCGTCTTTGATCAGACACATTGGAAGGGTCTTCTCCGCCCTTCTTGGGAGCGTGAGATGGACCTGCGGCACTTTCGATCGCAGATTCTCCGCTATTGGACGGGTACGCCCGATCAACACCGTCAGACGAATCGCCGTTACCGTGCCATGCGTATTGGCGCCGCCGCACGCGAATTCGCACGTGCTACGGGCGAGAGATATTTGCCTCCGGGTTACTCCTTTGTCTCCCGTTCAACCTGGGACCGTCGTTTCGCCGATACTCCTCTACCTGTGGGTGCGTTTTTCTGGTACAAGGCTCAGATGGACTTTGGTGGCTGGGCAAGATTTCTGGACCGACTGAACGGGCCGACCATTACATCGTCCGCTTCCTCGACGACCCTGGACCGATCAAGATCGCCCTCTCCGATGTTCGCTACTCTACCCTCGGATCTGCCGTCTGTGGTTCATGGTGTCTTCAAGTTCACGGCGGAAGCGCTCTCATGAAAGGACTTCTTCGCAATGTTGATACGTCGCGGAACGTGGAGGAGGCACATTCGTCGTCCGGCGATTCGACCCACGCCCGCTAAGATGGCGCGTTTCAGGGTTTCGGTCTGTTTGGTTTCTGTGTGATGTTTCAGTTGCGATGGGCGCCTGATATGCGGTTTGCTCTCCAGTACTTGTGGGCTGTTTTTGCCTACTAGAGTAATTCGCGGTGTCAGATTTCGTGATGGTATTTCGACCCCTTCTTCCGTCATTTTGACGATCGGTTTGTTCCCGTCTGGTACGTCGTTTAGTCCTCCTTCGAGTCTTTCCGCTCTTCTGCTCTTCCACCATTCGCATGGTCGAGCTTCGGTTCCCTGTGGCGATTTGATGGTGTTGGTCCTCCTTGTGGGTCTACACCTTGTTTTACTTGTCGAAACGTTTGGTTTCTTACCTGTCGGGTACATTGTGATGCTTTTGCATCTTCCGGGTTTATTGGTGGTTTCCGTTTATATGGGCTAGCCGTACATGCTTTAGTCACTCCTTGTTGCCTCGGTGACGCTGACTGCTTCGAGTTTCTAGTCGTTCGGTTCGTGCGTGTAGTTTTTGTCTTCCCGACCGTGACTTTCTTGTGTTTTTCTTTCTTTCTTTGGGTCCTGACCTGTTATGGTATTTNCCGTTTATATGGGCTAGCCGTACATGCTTTAGTCACTCCTTGTTGCCTCGGTGACGCTGACTGCTTCGAGTTTCTAGTCGTTCGGTTCGTGCGTGTAGTTTTTGTCTTCCCGACCGTGACTTTCTTGTGTTTTTCTTTCTTTCTTTGGGTCCTGACCTGTTATGGTATTTGTGGCGTTGACGGTTTTTCTGTTATTATTCCTTTCTTTCGTCTGTGTTCGTAGCCCCGTATTTATCCTTTTTCCTACCTCTTTGTTGGGTCAAACGATGGTCTTGCGACTCATCGTGTGAGAGGTGTGGGAGGGTGAATTTTGGTATTATGGAGCTCCGCATCCTCGATCCTTTCATTTTGGGATCAGATAGTTGATTGTCAAGTTCCGAGATTTCAAGGATCTGCGTATGAGAATCTCCAGGGTGGGCTAGTGTTATGGGATTTGAAGTGTAGCAAGTATCAACGGTTATGCGGCGTAATTCCCTTGGGAAAGTGCGGGAGATGTAACTCCCGCTGGAAGGATAAACCCGGGGACAGGTCCTATGTAGCCCCTATTTGAGGAAGCTCGACCTCCCCCACTGTGCTCAGTCTACCTTTGAGAGCAAAGCAACAACAAGCACTGCTGTTCCCAGAGATTAATAAACAAGTGAGTCTTCCCCAGGGTCTTGAGGGATTGCTACGCGTGAATCTGTTAAGGAGTGTTGCTGTATGGCACAGATAGGGTACACTGTCGGTCTAGATTAAGATGGGGGACGTCAGGAGGTATACCCTCTTAGGACATACCGCATCGGGACTTAGCGATCTGCGTGCCCCCAGGTTGAGGGCGATCCGCCTCACCTCAGACCTGTAGNGAGGGATTGCTACGCGTGAATCTGTTAAGGAGTGTTGCTGTATGGCACAGATAGGGTACACTGTCGGTCTAGNATGTAGCCCCTATTTGAGGAAGCTCGACCTCCCCCACTGTGCTCAGTCTACCTTTGAGAGCAAAGCAACAACAAGCACTGCTGTTCCCAGAGATTAATAAACAAGTGAGTCTTCCCCAGGGTCTTGAGGGATTGCTACGCGTGAATCTGTTAAGGAGTGTTGCTGTATGGCACAGATAGGGTACACTGTCGGTCTAGATTAAGATGGGGGACGTCAGGAGGTATACCCTCTTAGGACATACC